GAAATTGCCGCTCGAGGGACTTTGGACTTTTCATTTTTCTTGGGCCACGCAATCTGTGATGAAAGCGAACGGGCAGCCGGTGTACGCGGTGACACATCTTCGTTTTATGGTCTTTTATCGAGTGCACAAGCGATGATTGATTGATTGATATGTGGGGTTTAACGTCCCCAAACCACCATATGATTATGAGAGACGCCGTAGTGGAGGGCTCTGCAAATTTTGACCATTTGGGGTTCTTTAACGTGCGCCAAAATCTGAGCACACGGGCCCACAACATTTCCGCCTCCATCGGAAATGCAGCTGCCGGAGCCAGGATTTGATCCCGCGACCTACGGGTCAGCAGCCGTGTACATTAGCCACTAGACCACCGCTGTGGGGCGAGTGCAAAAGCGAGGCCTTCTTGATCCGATGAGCTCGTTAAAGTACGAAAACAACGATAACAAAAAACACGGCTTCTCTTTAAACATCGCGCACAGCAACAGATGACGAACCCTCAAGAAACCGCACTGAGCACGCGAACTGCTGTAGGTCATGCAGTACGTACCCAGGGAGGCTCAGGAACATGGTGGAAGAGGTCGACACCGGTGGAAGTGACTTCAAGTGAACACTATGTATAGCAATATACCGCCTCTCTGCAACAGTGCAATCTTGCTGAGCGCCCATGAATAAGTCTGCGGCACGCCGGCCGTGCCAAAACATCGCACCGTAAATTTCTCTCCTGCGCGTGTGACAAGGGGCTTCACTGCGCAGCCGTTCACGCTAATGATGGACCTATGTGCAACTTTGCTCCTGTATAGGGAGTATATACAAGAATTATGCCACGCTGCAGAGCCATATATATAGTGCCTAGAATATACTAGGGATGCCAGTTCCGGATGGTTTTGAATCAACTTGACCCCGGACCATTTTGTGTGCAGAAGATACTAGGACCTTGGGCATCTGCCTCAGTTGCGCAGAAAGCGACTAAAGCACTGCTACTTTACTTAAAGTTAACAAACCTGAGCGACCGCCTGTAGACTGTGTGTGCTCCCCGAGTGTGCTCGTGATTGTGTGTACCTTCTCATCTCTCTGCAACCTCTTTTCTCCCCTTCATCCCTTCCCCAGTGCAGGGTAGAAAACCGGATGTGCTTCTGGTTAACCTCCCTGCCTTTCTTTGCATCTTTATCTCTCTCTTTCTCTCTATACCTTCTGCCGGGCCGGTGCATGCAGTGCCCCAAGAGGCATGTTGGCGCGCTTTGGGGACCGGTTTCGGCAGCCGTTTTGCACAGCTTCTCATTTTAACCGCGCCGGTGCACAGATTAGCTAGAGTGGCCTAATTAGCTGCTTCAAGTTTAACAACTCGACCGCGCCGCTGTTTCGTACTCCAATTTCTTTTTCTCCGCGCTTGCTTACTCTGTTCAGAGTTATTCAATCACACGAGTGGCGAAACTCTCCATAGGCTCAATGTATCAAAACCCGGACACTACATTAGCGCCTATGTCGGTAGTGAGAAGACATTCGCGTCACCTGTTGACAAGACACCCACTGTTTAGCGCATTACCTGCGTTTTTAGTTGTTGGTTCAAGGAACGTCAGCTAACTCCAAAAAAAATGGTCGAACTGCGTTTCCAGATTTTGAAACGAAGTTTCGCAACTCGTGTAGCTGAATAACTCTCTCTGTCTCAGCTGTACGACTGGTGCTACGGTTAGAGTGACATAGAATTCCACGCTGGGGATCGGCCAAGAACCGGGTAGTTCTAACAAAACACTGTTGATTTGTTAGCTCACGTATTTCAAAGTAATGAGAGGGATCAAGGAAAAGGCTTGTGAAAAATTGAGAATTAGAAATAATGGGTGTAGAAAGTAAAGCAGATTTTCTCAGCAATAATAATAAATAAAAGAATAAAGAAAGAAATTCAGAAACAAGTAACTTAGAAGTAATAAAATGTTCTAACGTCTGAATCTCTTTGAAGCAATAATAAACTCCTGCACGGCATCGGCAACTTTCCGTCACTGAAGCCTTGGGACAAAGGCCCAAAAGAAAGTACATTTGGAGTATTTAACTGCAATCTTACTGAACGAAAGACGGCATCTAATATAATTTTGCGCAATAAAGCGTATTTTTTTCAAAATATTCGATCTGTTACAATATTTGAGTTCTGGTGTGTCAAGGACTCCACAAAACCGAAAATTAGGGGAATCAGCCAGACTAGCTCTGTGTAAATAAAAATTAAGATGAGCAGTTTGTTTTACTATTCCAACGATGGTTTAGGTGTTGAAATTTCAATGTGTTCATTATAGATGGCAAGAAAAATTTTTAACATCATTTTGCTCTTAAATCTAGCCCTATAATGAGTTTATATGCCAGTAATATGTGAATAACCGGGCCATTTAATGATAGCTTAGCTAACGCATCCACCATTTCATTGTGAAAAGGTCCCTTATGGCCTCGTACAAACAAAAAGTATATACAGTGGAACAAATGATTTGAAAGTACTCAGCACTTGGGAGTTCTCATTTGCAGAGAAGGACACACCGAAAGGAATTTATTTAAAATTATGGCCGAATTCTAGATGATGCTATTCATTTGCCGAGAGCTAAAGTTATCGCAAAGAATGCTTTTAAGAAATTGTGGAAAACCTGGAATGCGTAGAGAAAATGACCAATCTAGATTAGGAGCGAAGATTCCTACTCCACATTTTTTTTCTGCATTTTGCGAAGCATCTGCCGCAATGACTGCCTGATTGGTGGATGAACCAGATAATCACTCAGAATATATTTAAAAGGTGGCACCAAGTGGTTTTTAGCCAGGAGCCATCGAAACGCCTTGTTCGAATTGATTTTGTACTTGTTCTTCATCTGGCTGACTGCGTTTATTATATTTTCAACAGAGATCATTAACTAATGTTGCAAAAATTACTACCTGCCCGTGAGCACGTAAAGCGTCGTCAAAGCTGATTTTAGGGGGGCAGAATAGCAGCTAAAGTTCAGAGCGGAGCTTGACATTTCCGATTACTGCCAGTCTCTACTAAGACCATATGAGGTGGGAACTACACACAGATTATTGTTACAAATAAGTAATACAGTAAAGAAAACAGCAATGGCAACTTTGCTTTTCATACATGGGAAACTTACACTACATAATATTAAAACGAAAATTCAAGTCTATATAAAATAGCAAGTTCAAGAATAGAGGCTGTAAACGCGACTACTTACAGGACATAAAAGTACCTGCTGTTTTCATGACTCATGACTCTGTAAATTAGAACATACCATGAAGTTGCTTCAATTATTTGCTGAAATCTGTTCTAAACATGCACTATTATTGATGAAAGGGGCTAACATTTTTAATTCACAGATGAGAACCAGAAACAATGATTATTTTAACACATCACTGTTGCACCTGTACTGAACGAATGTTTTTGTATGTTTGTACCTCGTGGCTTGTGTTTGTGTATAAGAAACATTGTTTGAAACGTTCATTTTAAATAATTATGCAGAAGGTAGTAAAGAAACTTTAAACATACCTGTCACGCTTGTAATTTTAGCGTATGCAGTCCAGAAATCGCTTGAATGGTGGTGGGTGAGTGTCATGTATGCGATAGCGCCACGTGTTGACGATAGAGCGGCCAGCCCAACTGCCAGTAATTATGTGACCCGACTGTGATCCATATAAAGCTGCATGTCTAGGCTGCCGCCCCACCTCACCCTTTTCATTTGCGGTTGTACCGTCGTACTTGCGACAATATGTAGCAATAAATCGTTTTGTTACTCTACGTTCGTCTCCGAACATTGGACATCACATCTGGCGACGAAGTGATTCGAACCTTCAGCAGCGTTGGCAGAACAGAAGAAAGGTTCTACCCTGTTTGAAGTTCCTGGGGCGGTCGCCGACTCACAGCAAGCTACCGTAACAGCACAGATGGCAGACTCAGTCACGCAAGTGATAGGAAGAATTGGCCACATGGAGCCTTTTGACGACTCCTCAAGCGACTGGACTTCATACAACAAGCGGTTGACATAGTTTCTCCACTTCAACAAAGTACAGGAGGCAGACAAGGTTCACGCGTTCCTGAGCCTAATAGTGGCGAAGACGTACGCTCTACTCAAGTCACTTATCGTCCCTGACCTTCCATCAAGCAAGTTGTACGACACCCTCACGCAATTTCTTGGCGACCTTCTGGCACCGAAGCCTTCAGTAATTGGTGAGAGAGCCAAGTTTTATCGGCGGTCTCAGCGTGAGACTGAATCCATTGCCGATTTCGTCGCGGAACTGCGTTCCCTCTCGAGTACAAGCAAGTTCGATAATTTATTAGACGAGGTACTGAGGGACAAATTTGTTTGTGGTGTACAAAGACAAGATATTCAGTGAGTGCTGTTTGCTGAAGACAAGAAGTTAATTTTTCAAAAGGCAGTCGAAAAAGCTTTAGCATTGGATTCAGCAACAGAAAGTGCAGCAGAAGTGCATGGTTGAACAAGCGTCTCTGACTTGCACCGTGTAACTGCACAAAAGCCGGGGCATAAAACAGTCGCCGTAAAAGATGCCAGCGAAAAAAGAAAGCGTCAAACATGTGTTGGCAGTGCGGTTCCGTTAAGCACGTGAGCAAAAACTGCAGACATGCGTCGGCGACTTGTTTCGGCTGTGGCAAGAAAAGGCATATCCAGCGTATATGTCAGTCTGATGAGAACGCGAAGCTATCTCAGGCGCGAGCACGCAGCCTGAAAGTTCTTGACTGGGCCACAGAAATGATGTTAAACGGCATGACGTGCTCGGCAAAAGATGCCATAAAAGTACGCCTGTTGATAAACAAAATTCCACTTGAAATGGAGTTGGATACGGGAGCAGTGGTATCCGTAATTTCTCGCAGGCAACAGCAAATGTTGTTCCCCTCTTTGAAGTTGCGCACGACAAACTTGCGTCTACGCACTTACACAGGCGCATTATTCAAACCAGCAGGAGTGACTGAAGTTGTTGTTGAACATGGGCAAAGTGTTCTATTACTCTTGTATGTCACTGAGCAGGGAGGACCGGCACTTCTGGGCCGAGAGTGGTTACAGCACGTGTGCCTCGACTGGAACGCGGTATTCTCTTGCATTAAGCTCTGTTCGGCACGGGAGCCGACAAACAAGGAAGCAAAAGCAGAGGTTAGCAAGCTTTTGGAGAAGTACAGTAACCTTTTCAAGGAAGAATTGGGATGCATCACAGAGAAGGCAGAACTTTTTCTCAAAAGGGACGCTCGTCCGAAGTTTTTGAAGGCACGCAGTGTGCCTTCCGCACTGCTTCCAGCAGTGGAAAAAGAGCTTGCCAAAACGCAGTGAATGGGTGTGATCACACCATTAGCCATGTGCGAGTATGCTACACCGCTAGTGCCTGTGGTAAAGAAAGACGGAAACATCCGCCTATGTGGCGACTACAAGACTACTGTCAACCCTATGCTAGACACTGATCGCTACCCTTTACCACGTATTGAAGAAGTTTTCGCTGCACTCAGTGGAGGAAAAGAATTTTCAAAAATTGACTTGAACGGGGCCTATCAACAGGTAGTGCTAGCGGAACCGGTGCGTCGTCTTCTGGCAATAAACACGACGAAAGGACTGTCCGCCGTAAACCGGCTATCTTTCGGCGTGTCTTCGGCACCTGGTATTTTTCAGTGAATAATGGACACCATGCTTAAGGGTCTCAAAGGTGTTGCATGCTATTTGGACGATATTCCTAGTGACCGGAAGGACTGGGGTCGAACACCTGCAGAACTTGGAAGCAGTTTTAACCCGTTGGGAAAGCCGAGGAGTTTGACTAAGAGCTGAGAAATGCGTTTTTTTTTCAGAAGGAATCAACCTACTTGGGGCACAAGTTGAGTGCAGATGGCATACATCCCATGACGGACAAGAATGATACCATTGTAGCCATGCCAGCACCGTAGAACAAGCCGCAGCTTCGTTTTTTGCTCGGAGCCGTAAACTACTACGGAAAAATTCTACCTCAACTGGCTACGCTAGCCCATCCCCTGTACAAACTCCTGCCAGACGACCAAGCTTGGGCATGGACCAGCGAATGTCAAGCGGCCTTTGACGACATTAAGGCTGCGTTGGTATCCCCGGAGGTGCTGGCTCACTATGATCCGCAAAGACCACTTCAAATGGCTTGCGACGCATCTCATTACGGGGTAGGTGCTGTGCTTTCTCATGTTTTTGCTGATGGAACCGTTTGCCCTGTTGCTTATGCTTCAAGGACTCTGTCCGAGGCTGAGCAGAAGTATAGCCAGATCGAGAAAGAAGCATTAGCAATCATCTTCCGTGTTAAGAAGTTTCACTGCTATATTTATGGGCATTCGTTCACGCTGATAACAGATCACAAACCACTGCAGACTATTTTGGGTCCAAAGTCTGGCATACCAACCTTAGCAGCAGCAAGACTTCAACGTTGGGCAGTGACGTTATCTGCCTACACGTACACCTTGAAGTTTCCACCGACAAACGAGAATCTAGAGGCTGACTGCTTGTCGCGCTTGCTGGTTCGTCAGGAATCTGCTAATGATTCAGAGGAAACGTTCTACTCGCTACGCTTGCAATCAATCCCGGTGACGCACAAGGATATTGCACGTGCAACCTCACATGATCAGCTTCTTTGCAGAGTACTCGAGCTCACAAGTGCGGGGTGGCCTAACTTTACGGACGATGCGGAGCTCAAGCCTTTCTTCGAAGGGAGGACACAGCTGACCACACACCAAGGCTGTTTCCTGTGGGAAATGCATGTAGTGGTGCCTGCAAAGCTGAGGTCTCTGGCGCTACAAGAACTTCGCGACGGTCATCCAGGTATTGTGCAATTCAAAGAGTTGGCCCGCAGCTATGTTTGGTGGCCTTCAATTGACGCGGATCTCGATTCTCATGTCAAAGGATGCAAACCTTGCCACGAGCAGCGTAGTGCCCCTAACAGTGCTCCGTTGCACCCATGGTCGTGGCCAACATCCCCTTGGAAGCGAGTAAACATCGATTTTGCTGAGCCTTTTCGGCATCACATGTTTCTAGTTGTGGTTGATGCACATTCTAAATGGCCAGAGGTGTGCATCATGAAACACGACTAACAAGGCAACCATCGATCGGCTTCGCGAAATGTTTAGTCGTTTCGGTTATCCGGCAACGATGGTGTCGGACAATGGCCCACAATTTAAGTCTGTCGAGTTCCAAACGTTTGTTCGAGAGATAGGAGCGCGCCACGTCACCACAGCGCCTTATCATGCGAGCGGCAGATCACTGCGAGCTGGTTGACAACCATTTCAGTCCCAAGGACGCGGTGATCCTGAGAATGATGGGAACCTTCTTTGGCGGCTGCTCCTAGAATCCTGGCACATTCAGCAGAAAGCGGTAAACATCAACCGCTCAATGATGACATCGCCCTTCCTCAACTGCCAGGACTTGTGGCGGGCCACGGTAAACCTCGCACGCACGGCAAGTAATCGTATGTAAGCACTGCACATCTCGGGCTTTCTCACCCCTGAAGAAGATGCCGACGAGGCTTCGAAACGCCGGGTTTTCTTAAACCAAACTTTGGTTGAAGCTTCCTCCGATTCCTAAATTGCAGAGTTTTTCAAAGAAGCTAATTTGCATCTATTAATTAGTCAATTATTGTAAAAAGCTCGTTAATTAGGGTCTCACGAGACCAGAAAAAATATTCAAAATAACCAAATTTCGAATTATCGAATACATAAAAACAATGAATAAATGTGTATACCATGAATACACGGCCGAAGGTAAAAAACCTGGAGTCACTGCGCCGACCAAAGTAGAAGTTTAAAAAGAAAAAAAAAACAGAAAAAGGACTTTTTAGTTCCCACACGGAAGCCTTGTTTATGGTGAAATGATAACAGTTGCAAAGAAGTTCGCCTCATGTATGTGTCAATATCACGCAGGCAGCGCGCATATACTGACGGCAGATTACCATCGTTTCTGTTTAAAGTGTGCGAAGTGGTTTGTATCACAAATGACTCGAGATAAAGACGCCGTGACAGTCCCTTTTTCTCTAGCGAGAGCACGTGCCTTTCCCCCATATTGTATGCCCACCAGACGCATGCTCAGCCAAGCCACTGGATTTAACATTTCCTTTCTTCACGTCATAAATGTGCTATTTGAGTCGCCGTACAAAGTCACTACTTTCACCGATATACACATTGTCACAATCCGTGCACTAGACAGCATACACCACACCGGAGAACTTCACTTTGGCTAATTTGTCCTTCACATATACGAGCGACTGTAGCAGTTTTTGGTCAGGAACATGTGCCACATGGGCGCTGTACAGTCGAGTGCATAATTTTAGAGACCACGGGAGCACGTGCCGAGACGCGTCGCTGCGCCTTCTGGCGGCTGCACGGCTCTGTCCGGGAGCGCGTATTGCGCACGCTCGTCCCATATCACCCGGCAGCCTGCCCTTTCGCTCGTTTCAACGGCGCGCATCTCGAAACGATGCGGACGGTGCAAGGTGTCCCTTCTATAGTCGCTGTAAAGACAACGAAAAAAGCCGAGTGCAAATGTGACGACAGCACATCATTTGCGGGCTTCGGCGTGCTGCACATAGTGCACGTTACCCCTAAGCGATCCGCGGCCTGATCACCTTTTGAATGTCGAGTCAGGCAATCAATAAGCTCAGCCAGCAGTGTTGCCTTTTGCGCTCTCATTCGCCGAACTAACGCACGTAGTAATACTCGGTCCAAATATTATGTGTCTATGAACATGCATGAAGCCACCAAACGTCCAACAGCAGCAGAAAAGAGCCGAGGAAGAAAGGTGAAAACAAACTCAGTTTATTAAGGATAAATCCTTTATTAAGGCCGCTGCGGTGGTGCAGTGGTTTCGATGCCTCCACGTACTCCCTTATAATAGAGAGACAATTGCTTCCTTATGTCTTGAATGGGCCGTTCATGGATGGTTGTTTCGTGTACCAGCATGACAGAAGCCCGATTCACACTGCTCGCAGTGTGAAATCTTTGCTTGAGGGAGTTGCTGTTCGCTCATTGGAATGGCCACCTGTAGGAGCGGACCTGAACCCCATAGAAAACGTCTAGGGTCTCGTGAAACGCCGACTTGCGGCGCGGAATCTTGGAAATTCAACGATGGAGACACTATTCGAGGCCATACAGGAGGAGTGGGAAGCACTTCGTTCACGCCCCGAGATCGTGGCCGTGCTTTACAATTAGATGTCATCTCGTGTGGCGCAAGTGATTGTTGCCGATGGGTGTTTGATTAAATAATGAAAGTAGTGATCTTTCCTGGATAGCAGTTATAGCTATCGTTTTCTTTTTTTTTTTCTGGCATATAAGAATAAACTGTTTATTGGTCGCGTTTTCTGGCTATTCATTCTGGACGCGCGATATTCAGTGGTTTACTGCATACCACTGCACGCGCGATAATGGCACCAAGAAATGGAGCTGGCATAAAGTCTCCGAGACAGAGCACAAAATTCATCACTGCAAGGTGAGCATATCACGCAACTCCGTTTGAGAAAAGCTGAGAAACTGCATGTTTTCCGCGCTGAATCAAGGAAGAAAGCGTATTGCATGGCGTGTTCGAGCCATGCTATTACATTAGAGGCATTTTCGCCGCAATATTATCGCTCGGGAGCACCGGTGCTTGCACAGCGACTGCAGAAGGGACACTTTGCACCGTCCGCATTGTTTTGAGATGCGCGCCATTGAAACGAGCGAAAGGACAGGCTGCCGGGTGATATTGGACAAGCGTGCGCAGTACGCGCTCCCGGACAGAGCCGTTCAGCCGCCAGAAGGCGCAGCGACGCGCCTCGGCACGCGCTCCCGTGGTCTCTAAAATTATGCACTCGACTGTACATAAGGCGAACTGTTTTGCACATGATTTCATTTCGCTGTGAAAAAGGCTTCCGTGTGGTAGCCGAAACGTCACTTTTTTCTGTTTTTTTTTTTTACTTTTACTTTGGTCGGCGCAATGACTCCAGGTTTTTTTTTACCTTCAACTACTTATCAACCCGACCAGACGGGCTTCCGTCAAACTTTAAACTTCAACATCAACACACTTTCATTTTATTGCTGAGTTTGTAAATGTTGTATACCTATTTTGTATATGAGCACCGTAAAGGAGCAGTTCTCGTCATCCTGCAACTTCTTTGACAACGCTACCTTAGTCAATTCTAGCTTAGTCGAGAACATGCTCTGCACCAGTACCTTATTACGTATCGTCACTACCACTGCCACCATACCAACGGTATAATTACTTTTTTTATATAATCGGTAAGCGAAAAAAAAAAAGTCTTTGCAGCCGCTGAACCGCTTAATCACAGCCGCCTTGTCTCGAAG